CCCGTTGCGGGTACTGCATTCAATCCTCCGTACCGCCAAGTGGTGCCGTGTGCGGTACTCGGTGCCTGCTTTTGGGCAAAAAAGCAGGGGGTACCCTGGTACTTTCAAGGGTACCTGCACACAAACTCTCTCCTCGGTGGCTTGACCGAGACTAACTGGTCTCGTCCAGGTTGCTGGAGAGGACCTCTCTTTGGCAACCTGATCAAGACCAATCAGGTCGCCGGTAAGGGCCCTCCTTGGCAACCTGATTGGGTCTCAACCAGTTTGCCTGAAAGAAGCTCCGGTAGCCAGGCGGTACCCGCCAGGAGTACCGCCGGTACCCGTCATACTTGAGCGGGTGTGGTACCCGGTGTCCATTTTGGCCCAAAAAAAGCACTCGGTACCCGGGTATCAACGGGTACCCGGGTCTCATGGGGCCCATCTTTACAGAGTTGTCATTATTGCTCCCTGGTCATTGATTTAGCATTACTTACTTGGAATATATTTAGCATTACAGAATTAAGACATTTCACACAGAATTATTATCCTCATACCTTACCCTTTACAAATCTTACATCTTCATTTAGCCACACCTTTCTTTAAGAGTCCATACTCTTATTTCTTGTTCTTCTTACTCTCCCAGTAACCAGAGAGGCAGCCCTTCAAGCCCTCATCCCTCTCTAAGCTCTATTCCCACCAAAGAGTAGTTCCACACCGTTCATCTTGTCCACCATCAGCTGTTACGACCCCCAACATGGTGCAAGTGTCTTCAGACTCCTGACTCCGAATAACCCGACCAACTCAGCGGCCTGCTGAGGCAGAACCTTCAACCAACTCAGAAGCAGGATCAGAGTCTGATGATGAATCAGTTCCACCTGAATCCTCATCCGCTCCCTTGAAATCCAAGCCAAAGAAAAAGAAACCGCGCCAGCAGAAAGTTGTCTCAACAAAAAAGACAACCGCAGTTGTGGCGGCCAAAAAAAAGAGAAGTCCAAAAAAAAGCAACCCCAGTGTGTATGACAATCAAGCTATCAACAGTTTATAATTTATGTGCATATTAATGGAGTTTGAGTTCTTTTTTTCTTTCTTGATTTCATTCAACTTCAAGGCAAGTGAAGATGATCAGGCCTTTGACTATGATCAGGATACAGATACAGGATCGATTGAAATCCAACCAAGAGGGAAGAAGATTGCAAAGGCAGATGAATATGCTAAAGTGGAGGATTACTTCTTTCCACCTGTTTGTAAAGAAGGCGGGGATGAAGATGCCCCTCTCAATTTCAAGTGTCGGTGGTGTCTTGGTGTCTATCGTGCGCATGGGGTCAACCAAAGGCAATTTGAAATCTCATCGTGATGGCTATACACAGAAGGATAAGAACGACCGAGGCTGCCCCAACCGTGAAAAGGCTAAGCAGGAAGGGGTAAAGCTTCCGCCTTCAGTTGCCGAACGCCGGAAGATGGCTAATGGTGATGGGAAACAGAATTTCCTTCAAGCTCAGCCCCAATTTGTCAATCAAGTGTTGAATCAGCTCATTATGATCTGGCAAATCCGTCAAGCACTTCCATGGACACGGCATTGAGGACCCGTACCTTTGTGCCGCATTCCGGTATGCAAACAATAAAGCTGTTCTTTATGCAAGAAGATGGTCTGCGGATGATTCAAAACAACTGTATGCAATGCTCAAGTCATATGTTTTTACGGAGTTGAATGTGAGTCTTTTCCAAAGATGATTGAGTCTTTTCCAAAGATGATTGAATCTTTTCAATAACTAGAACTTGTGCTAATTTTTATCTTCATTATTACTTTTCATAGAATCTTGACACCCAGTTTTTCCTGGTCCATGATGTGTGGACAACTAAGGGCAATAGATTCGCATTCATTGGTGCTGCAGTAGCATACATTGATTCTGACTGGAAATACACAGTCCGCCATTTGGCATTGAAAATGATTCCTTGGAAACACCGCGGCTATCTATTGGCCCGGCCAATAGCTACTATTCTCAAAAAAGATAAACTCTACCAAAAGATAAGTGTTTCTTTTAAAATTTTTCACTTGCTTTTGTTGTGAATCTTTCCTGTTCTAACCTTTTTGTTTTTTGTGTTCTTACATGCTAGCCCAGACAACTGACTCTGGATCTAACAACAACACGATGGCAAGCCATATGTATGATCTGATCAAAAACAACAAATCCAAATCGGCAGGGCCGGAAGGGTCGGCAGAGTCAGCTTGGGACCCAACAACGATGCATGTGCGCTGCTTTTGCCACAAGCTAGCCCTGATAGTGAACGCGGGACTTAAGGCGCTATCACTCAAGACTCTTCCTCCTGGGAAGTCCAAGGAATCAATCTTGGTTTTTTTCCCAGTCCTCAGCCCCGTCACTGAAGAATTAGAACCCAAAGAATCAGGTCATTTGGTTGAATCTCAATCAAAAGACAATCCAAATGCTCCCTCTCATCTGAATGAAGATACACTCGATTTCGAGAGCGACTACGGTAATGAAGGCAAAGACATTTCTGATGAGGAAGAGTCAGTTTCCTCCGATGCCAAAGATCAGATGAGTGCAAAAGGACCGACTAGCGCAACAGCACAGAAGAAGCACATCAAGTCAACAAGACTTCTGGAGCTAACCAAAAAAGTTTGTACTCGGAATTCTAGTTTTCTCATAACGTTCATACTAACCAAACTATTTTTTTGCTAGCTTGACGTCGTCATCAAACAACTTACACACTCGGCTGCTGAGCATTCAAATTTCAAACGTACTGCCGACCAGTTGAAGCTCAAAGTCTCTCCTTTGATTGCGGGTTATGGTATTTGATGGAATATCAGATACCAGAGCTACCAGAAAGCAATCGATGCTCATGCAGTCATTGATCACATACTGAAAGAAGACCAGGAAAATCAGGCTGGCCTCTTTGGCGATGTTTTTTTCACCCCTCGCGATTGGAAGGAGATTGACAGCTTATGTTTGTAGCTAGAAGTATGTTGCCTCACTTCTATTTTTGGGCACTTGGAATTGCTTACAAATGAGGTGTTTGTGAAATTAACCTCCCAGATGGAAGGGGACTCGCCAACCGGTACACATGTTATACCAAAATATCTCGAACTCAAGGATAGTCTAACAGAGAAGGTCAATCGGTCATTGGAGACAGACACACTGTATCCAATGTACCATGCCATGTTAAAACGGGTCAATCAATACCTTGATGAAGCAATGCGATGTGAAACGCTGCTCATGGCTACCATGATGCATCCGTGCCTCCGGATGCAGCTCTTTGAGCTTGTAATTGGACCTGATAGCACCGAGGTGACACAGAGCTACAACTTGCTCAACCGCGAATTCCAACAGATGAAAGCTCTTCAAAAGAAAATTAACGACTTGAAGATCATCAATGAACCTGATATCACACTTGTCAACAAAACGGCAAACCCATCAGGTGCAGGCCAATCACTCATGTCACGTTTGGCCTCACGGATGGCTATACTACCAACAGCGCAGGACAATGAAGTCGAGGCTTACTTGAAGGCAACAATCTCCTTCACCGATTGCGAGCTACAGGATAAAAATACTCCTTTGAACTGGTGGAAGGTAGGCATGATGGTCGGCCTTCATTCTCTATACGAATCTGACTGTTCTCTCCTCTCAAAACAGGCCAATTGCACATCCTACCCCACACTTGCGGTCATGGCCCGTGGATATCTAGGGACTCCCGGTAGCTCCTGTTCGGTTGAACGGCTTTTCTCTGCAGCCGCTGATGTGAGTAGCAACAGCTGAGGAAGTTTACTACCATTGACCATGTCACATTGTGTGAGCAGCCTTATGTGGCTTCGCAAGGAAGTCCCCCTGACCGGACAATTTGCTGAGCTGGGAAAGTCTTAAAAGCACTAATCCGCCAGGCCTAAGAATGATGCCTCTCACTGATTGGTCGTACTGATACGTATCGACCCATCTGTGTACCGTACACCACTGTTCTACATCTGTTCTCCTGGTACCGTAACTTTAAAAAAAATGACAAACAAAATAAACGCTACGATATAAAAAAACCGTGCGGTTAAGCGTGGCGTTATCGTAGTAAAACTGTTACGATAATGTTACTTTAACGATAACCGTAACGTAACTACCCAGCATTGATGTTGGCCAATGAAAGTGTGTTGCAAAATGATGAATGGCCAACTACACAAAAATCCATAACTCCATCCCCCCCACAAAAAAAAAAATCTATCGCAACCCCCACAAAAAAAAATCTATCACAGTCAAATCTGCAAAAAGCCAAAAAAAAACATGACTGTAGAGAAAACTAAGTCCTCTCCAAAAAATAACTGAATCAAGAAAGAAGGCCTTTCATCCACTGCAACAGAATCACCTCTTGCTGCTGCTCAGAACATCCCTTTTGTGAAAGGCTTTCTAAAACTGGATGCATAATTATCGGGTTGTCTTGAAAGCAAAACTGTTGCAAATGTTAGTATTCATGTGTTTCAGCTCTCTCTTTTTTAATTTTCTAATTATTAGCATATCTCATGGTGTACTCTTTCATCATTATTAGAATATGTTTATACTCAATTTTTCACATATTAGGGGGTATCAAATATATGAAATCCACCTTTAGAAACCAGTCACTTTTCCCAAAACGTTTTCTTGCATCAATGTGCCCCAAAAGGGGTTAAATTAATAACCAACATGTTGGAAAAAGGGTGGATTTTTTCAAACCATTCAATTAAGTAATGGTGGATTTGGTCATATTTGATACCCCCTATTTAGCTTGTTTCCTTTCATTATAATTTCAAGCTTGAGTTTGCTCATCCAGAAATACAAACTCATCAAGTCTTTCCATCTTTGACCCTTTCACTCATCCATTAACAGCAAGGAAACATACATAGTTGTTTAACTATTTCAATATTAATCATTTTATCACAAAAACGATCCCATGATAGTGAATCCAGTATCTTTGAGAAGATGAAGAAGAAAGGATTCCTTTGTTTCCATAGACAATACAAAACATCTGAATGATTTCATTCAAAATAAAGCTGAGGATCAGTGGTGGAAGTTCTAATCTGTCACATGTGTGACAATGAGTACTTGGACTTCAAGGAATTGATCAAAACTGACTTTTTGCTTCAAGAAACAAAAACAAAAAAATCAAATGCAACCAAATCCACCACTATTTAATGGGCCTTGGTTAATTGGCTCCCAAATTTTAAAGTAATTGTGTAGAGACTCTCAACCATTGAGAGTGTAGAGACTCTCAATGATTGAGAGGACTTCTCTTTCATAATGGCCGTGAGGGATCCTCCCAGTTTCTGAGAGTTTACACTCTCAACAGCCCAGAGGGCCCTCCCAGCTACTAAGAGTGTAGAAATTCAAGGGTCAAGAGGAATCGTTCCGGGCGTTGAGAGTGTACAAGGAGCCCTTGGATCAATGTCCGGGAAAATTCCTCCTGGCCACTGATCAATCAGTATGTACAAATCTTGACAGCCAGGAGTGCTGTCAAGATTTGTATGTAAAATTGGAGACCAAAACCCCAATTTCCCTTTTTTTTTGAAATACTTTGGGAGTCAACTCCCAATCCTCACTGCAAGAATAGGAGGAACAACTCCCAGGCTTTAAGGGGACGGGAGGGGGGGGGTAGGGCACGAAAATGGGGCTGGGGATGTCCTGAGACAGTCCTCAAGCGGTCCTCTCAATGCCTCCCTAATTTGGGAGTCAATGAGGCACAGCTGTCTCACTGACCAGAGTTCCTTCTGGTCAAGTGGGAGCAAGTTGCATCAAGGGTGGTTTGGGAAGCCAACTCCCCCCCCCCCCCCCAAAAAAAAAAAATCAAATTGGGCCGACAACTCCTGGAATCAGCGGCCTAGATTTAGAAGACAACTCCTAACAGATGTCCGCCAACACTTGTTGTGAGTTGTTAGCTTTTTTTTAAAAAAAGGGGGGGGGAGGAGTTGTTTTTCTAAGCCCGATTTGTAACAACGTTTGGCTTCTTGTTTGTCTCCTCCCATTGGGAACCCTGCAGTCCAAGGAACCCAATGATGCAAACATTAATTAGGATTGGAAACCCAACTGGTTTTCAGTTAGATCTGGGAGACTCTGGAAGTGTTCATTTTTTTATATATAGCTTTGGGGGTGCTTCAGCCTCATGATCATAATATATACTGGTAGCTGTGGTGCAGTCAAGCACTTATAAATTATCTACAGATTGTCACATATATCCAACAACAGTCTCTTATAATGTTGGTTTTTTTCTTATATTCAATATATTACTGCCTTGTAGCCGGAGGTATCAAATGTACCAATGAAGGACTCACCATCAGATCTGGGACCCTCACACTGACAGATGTTGATCTAGACCCGAAAAAAAAGCCTAGAATTTTGCCGGGAAATCTATGTAGCTGTTGAGGAGGCCCTCAATCACTTCCGGGGAGACCCACAGATATGGACAGGAAGTTGCCCCCAAATTTACAGCTTTATTTTATTGACTGGTTTGATAAAAAATCCACCATTTTTTTCGAACACAATAATCGTTCTTCATTTATCCCCTTTTTTTGCCTGAGGGGGCAGATTGAAGCCATAGTTTTAGAAAAAATCAGTGTGGTTTGCGATTTATATGACCGATACATCCCCTACTCATGACACTGTAAAATGAGATTCATTTTAACCCTTCAAAAAAAAAGAAAGAAAGAAAACTTGGAATGATCAACACATCAAAAAAAATGGAAATGGTGATGATCACTTATATACATGACAAATACAACATTTTATTTATTTATTTTATTTTTTTGTAAGAAAAAAAAAAAAAAAAAAAAAAAAAACAACAACAACAAGTGTGAAACAATAAATGATAAAAAAAAAACAAGGTGATGAACCAATAAGAGTGTATTCATACAAACCAAAAAAAAAAGACTACAAGATCAGGGGAAAGAAGCGTGGGATAATAAACAGTCTACAATACATACATACACACAATTGTATAAAAAGAGAGAGAGAGAGAGAAAAGAGAAGTAGATAAAAAGAGAGAGAGTGAAGAAGAAGAAGAAGAAGAGATATATCTAAGCTTGATTGATTGATTGATTGGTTGTTTTGATGTTTAGGTTCTGGTTTCTGGAGCGACGATAAAGATAAGAATAAATAGATACGATACGAGATACAAACCAGCCCAACGTCCGCGCCCCAAGCCGGCCTCCCCACAAAGAGAAAGAGAAAGAGAAAGAGAACCAGAAAGAAAAATGATGGTATAAGAGAAGCCGCTACGAAACAAAAGGGGAAGATTTACAACTCGATCGGAATCGACTCAAGTCCATCACCGCCGCCTCTGTCTTCGCGCTCGCGCCCACCTACACCTTGTTGATCCCCGCCGTCCAGTACTTGTTCGGTGCAGTTTTCTTGCCCGTCTGCCCGATCAAGATCTTCGTCATCCAGATCTCCTTCTTCGTCCTCGAGATCACCCTCATCGTCTACCCTAATATCATCTTCATCGTCTAGCCCAATCTCATCCATCTGATCACCATCCTCACGAGCCCGCCGCTCCCCATCACAAACCCGATCCCCATCATGAACCCGATCCACAAGACCACCCAAACCGACATGAGCTCCCACCCCACTCGGCCGCTCGGTTGAACCAACCGCAAGAGGACTGATGAGCTCTGCTGTAGGCTGATGACGATCGACGATCGACGAGGGCCTTATAAACACCTCCGCCGCCAAGTCTTCGTCTTCTTCTTCCCTTAGTCTTTGAAGAGTCGTCGGAGTAGCGGGTGGTGGAGGAAGCGGTGGTCCAGTAGAACCAGCACGAGCTTTTCCTTTCCAAGTAGTGGGATTATTATTAGATGATGATGATGATATGTTGGAAGGGTATTGATGTGATGAGTCTGGACGAGTGGCCTCTGTCAAGTGAGATAACACTTGTGGGGGGTGACTGGAATGAGGGATACTTCTGAGTGCCTGATTACTGAGCCCGGAGCTTGGAATGGAATCTTCAGAGTTGGATGGAGGGATCAGTTTCTTGAGGGTGAGCTCGAGCTTCTCCTTGACGAGTAGACTTAGCCTCGAGTCTTCCTCCAACTCCTGTTCCTCCTCGATCGTTGGGGCCAGGTTATCGAGGGAGGGCTCGAGGGGCTGGTCAGATCTAAGGCTGTCTTTGGGGGTCCGTTTCTGGTAGCGCAGATGGGCGGGTCGAGAGGCCTGTCGCGGATGAGGACGGAGCGTGATTGGGATCGTCTGGGAGCTGTCGATGAGATGAATGAACTGGTTGATGTCGCTCTTTTCCTCCTCGGCCTTTCGTTGCTGATGGAGCTCGTCGAAGGCTGATGAGTTGAGGAGGGCCCGTCTACCGAGAGAGCCGCCGGAATCACCCGTCAACAAGCTCGTCCCTCCAGACGATGAGGCCTGGCCGAACGAGCGCGAGTGACGCGAGGATGAGTACCGTCTCATCATCGGCTGACCGGGGAGAGCCGAGCGCTGGGCGGCCAGACTTGGGTCAGCGGGCACTGGGCTCAGAGGACCAGGAATCGGCGGGTACGACGAGCCACTCGAGCCGCCGGGGGTGGTGGGCGATGCACCAGGGAGGAGGTGGGCAGTATTGGATGAGGAGGCCTGTTGAGAGTGTGGTCGACCGGTGGATATCCTGATCGATGAAGACGGCCCCGATAACGGGCTACTCGAGAGAACCGAGAACTGCCGTGGACTCGCTGCCGTGTTACTCGCTCCCATCTTGCTGTTCCCTCCAGGTGCTGCGGTGATGCTGGAATTGCTCCTGTTGAGCGATGGAGGTAGTGGTAGGGCGTTTGATTGGACTGGCGGTAGTGATTGTCGGAGTTTGGCAGTCAATGCTGAGCTCTGTGTACAAAAAAAAGACGTAACTTTGGCCTCAGAACTACAAAACTAACTAAAAGCTGTAAAAATCAAGAATAAACTTACATTGCCTGATCCATTATTATTTTGAGAGGGACGATGAGGAACTGAGGCAAAGGGAGAAGATTCGGTTGCAGCAAGGATCTCAGCAGTGAGTGAGTCCGATGAAGTTTTCGAGGGTTCGACGGGAGTGAAGAGCTGATCAAAGGAGGTCGAGTTATGTGGTTTAGGGACAGGATGGTGCCGAGAGGAGAGAGAGCCGTAGGAGGTGAGAGGGGGATGATCTGAGGAATTAGGTTCAGATTTCAGGTGCGGGGAGACTGATTCTGATTGATGATGATGATGATGCTGGTGGTGGTGGTGATCGGTGTTGTGGGGATGAGAAGGGATGGGATGTGGTGCTGGTCTGTTGGTGGTGGTACTCGTAGTGGGTACAGATAGGCCGGATTTGGTAAATTTCGAACAGGCAGCCCGATAGTTGACTATCCAAGCTGAGATTGGAGTGGCAGTAGTATTGGTAGTACTAGCTCTTAGGGGTCGTTCGAGTTGGTCCTCCTGACGAAATCGTGAGCTGAGGACTCTCTCCTTATCGCCAATCCTGAAATCGATCTGGTTGCGATAGATGACGCGAGTTTTGATGGAACCGAGTGAGGTTTGGATGGATGGAAAGTCATAGGTGGAGATCGAATCAGGTGGGGCATGAGATTGAGAGTTTGAGAGGTCTTGATAGATTCCGATCTCCTGGTGAGGGTATGAGGATGGATGATGAAACTGGAGTGGATGGAGTGAGAACTCTTGACAAGGGTTGGCGGTACTGATTCGGCAGCCGATCTTGAGTAGGCCGTGTTCAGGGTTGGTACGTTTCTTGAGCCTTTGATAGAGGGTTGAGCCAGGCATGGTACGTAGGTGACTGTATAAGGCTCTGAAGTGGATGATCGAGTGACGATAGACCGTTGGGGGTTCGAGGGTGGTGGGTTGATTGGGGAATGGGCCGAGTAGGGAGACAGACCATCGTTCGATGACGATATTCTTATGGATCTGTGGCCTGTTGAGTGAGTGAGTGGATTGATGATGATGATGAAGGGTTGGGTGATTAGGATGAGTTGGTTGAGGGATACGATGATCGACGGTGTGCTCACGAGCTTGAGAGTCAGTCAGGGTGATGAATGAGTTTGGTGGGAGTGCTTGGATGTCGAGTATGGTTTCGAAGATCAGGACGGGTATGAGGTCATAGTTGGGCAGTGGTTGTTGTTGTTGCTGTTGTTGTTTTGAGTTTTTGAGTGAGTTTGATGAGTTTGAGTTTGAGAGTGAGTGGATTGATGCTGAGAGTGACTTCCATGTCTTGAGTTCCTCCTTGAAGTAGTCCGGCTCAGGTAATTCCAAGTTGAACTGTGTGAGGTCAAGTCAGTATGTATGTCATGTATGGCTTGATATTGAGATAGTGATCTGGAGTATGTACCCATTTGTCATGCCTGCTATCAGTTGTTGGTTGGTCGATTCTTGCGTTGATGATGAGCTGGGTTGATTTTGAGTAGATGTGGTGGATGAGCTGGTCTGTCTTTGTGGTTTTGTTTCGGGTCGAAGAATGGCTGCTGTCCTGATATTGTCTTCTCATCTCCCCTTGCAAGTGGTAATTTGATTGGTTGGTTCTGGAAAAGAAGAAGAAGAATCGAAAATCAGTCAAAACCAATCCAAGAAACCCCCGCATACCCCGCACCGAAGATCCATAGGGCACAAAAATCCAATCTTTCAGAATTTAATTTGGCTCAAATTATCTATCATTTCATCAAAATTCAACATCACCCAAAGCCTGTCATTAGCCCGGTTCACATTTCACACTTTCCACTGCTAACTTGTAATAAACTTTCTGCTTGCTGATTTCGAAACTCTGTCCAAACTTGCACTGGCAGCAGGCTAATTTTAAGCGTGAGATCTCAATTCCCTCTGCTAACTTCAAATAAAAAATTTGCTAAAAAATTTGAAATGTGAACCGTCCTATTAGCATAGCATAGAAGTCAAGACGCTTTTTGTTTTAGTGCTCTGCTGACTTCATGTGGGATTTTTATTTCTCTTGGCAGATGTTGGTGGCCTTGTGTAGCTTATCACATTTCTTGTTTGGTGTGTTTTTCAGGTGATGACGCATATGGATAAGTCCAATCTGAAGAGCACATAAGGATAAATCAAAGGCACTCAGAAATCGAGTGTTTTCACAATGGGGAAGCAAAAAGATGTGATGATGTTGGCACAAATGGAAGAGCACAAAGCAGTTTGCAAAGTAATCCAGGAAACCGACTGATCCACATTGAAGAAAGAGATCAGGAGGGCTGGTCGAGACTCTCAAAGGCCAAGCAAGGGGAGGTCAAAACAGCATCAAAGCCCATCCTTTGGCTCTTGGTTGGCAGCATGACTTGAAATCAGACAATCTGGAGCACTTGCCTCATGTTTTTTTGTTTTTGTTTTGGGGGGTTTGATTAATACATACTAACCTCTGAATCTTTGTATATTTTATGTGTACCAAACACAAAAATGTGTGTACCAAACACAACAAAGGAATGGTTATGGAACAGCCTTCAATAATCCTCAGTCAGTCTTTCAAAATCCTCTAGGCTCCAGACTCAGCCTTTAATGATCAGCAGCAGAACTTCATGACTACTTATAATACTAGTGCTGTGATGTTTACTCATGATCCAAAGCAATTTCCAAAAACAAAAAAACACACAATGTACTTTCACTCAAGAAGAAAAATGGGGTTGAATGAAGATTGACTGGGTTTGGATGAGGCTCTCTCTTGGACTGACTGACCGGCTATGTAGAGAAGTCCACCCACTTTGACTTGACTGAAACAGCAAACCAAAACCAAAACCAAAAACCAAAACCAAATAAGCAAAACACAGCTTCAACCGGCCAGCCTGCCTTTTTTTATATCCCCAGCACTATACACTGGAGGACTTCCTGTCAACATCTGCGGGTCTCCCAGAGCCGGTTTAGAGGCTTGAAATTCAAATTTCTCTGCGAGAATCAAGAATTTTCGGGTTTAGACCAGCAGAATTTTTGGGTCTAGACCGACTTCTGCAAAGGCCCCAGATCCGACGTGAAGTCCTCCACTAGCTAGACTCAAGTGATGGAACAGCAGATAGAGCCACTGAGACAAGCCAGTTTTGTGTATGACAAGAAAGTGTCCAAGTATCAATGAACCACCAACAAATCAAAACCAAAAAAGAAACAATAAAAGATAAGTTAAAATTGATAAAAGTACGAGTGATTGAGACAGTATATATTATATATATAAATTAGTAGGAGTGTGGTGGTAAGTAAGTGGTAAGTACAAGGATGATCTGTTTTTTTTTCTTCTTCTTCTTCTTCTGGAGAATTGGAAATTAACAAATCTGGACAAACAAGAAACCCACTTGATGAGCTTGACCAATCAAATCAACAAATAAAAAAAAAACCAACATATGAACAAAGAAGAAAAGATTATGATCATAGGACAAAGGATGAAGAATGAATGAAACAGCATTTAGGGCTTTGAGAGGTCAGCTTATGAACAAACAAACAAACAAACAAAAAAAGAGGATTCAACAAATATAAAGCAGATGAGAATAAGCAATGAACCAAAAGAAAGTGTCTCTAGTATAATCAAATAGATGAATATAATAGGAAGAGGAATATTAGTAGTAGCACACAAAATGAAGAACAATTTTTTGCACTGTATGTATTTATGTATTGTTTTTGCGGATGTCAGTTACACATGATGGGACAGGAGGAGAGAGGATCTTTTATTGAGTGTTGAAAGATGAAATAACTTTCTGAAAAAAAAAATTGTCCTGATCTTTTTGTTTTCAAAAGGAAGGCAATAACCCCAGGAGGAAAGAGAGATTATGACCTCCTATAGGTTGTGAACCCAGGGGGAGAAGGCAAGTCATCATCTGGACTTGCAGATGTCTTGAAAGGATTACTGCTAGCCGGTTGATGTTGGTGGGGGAGAATGGGGGGAAGGTTAGAGTGAGTCGGCCGATCGACTCTGCGCATGGCGCCCATCGAGTCAGGTACGGCGCCAGTATCAGACAGAGTGACGCCTCTGGCGAAGCCGGCTTTGAGTTCTAGCCCATTGCTGCCACCACTGCCTCCGAGGACGGTGGAATGTGATGAGGATTGCTGGTCCTCATCCGGATGAGAGCTTTGAAACAGGTGCGAGAACTCGTGGTTGGGTGACACTCGTTCCTCATCCTCAAACGGACTGTGGCCACTCGTCTCATTCGTGGCTCTGAACGCAGGCAAGATGGGTTCCCGAGCGTCGAAGTCCGTCATCCGACCAGTATAACTGTCTTGGCTGGTTTGCCGTAGAGGCATGGTATTCCGGGCGTTGCTTAGATAATGGCCTCCTGCGGAAACTTTTGACTCTTCCCGTGCCAGTGGCTGAGGTAACGACAGTTGCTGGATAGAGGGCAACCTGGTACTGTATGGGTCGCTGACTGTTGCACTACTCCAATTGTCTATACTGCTATTAAGACTGTAACGTCCGGAAGGTGGGGGCAAGAGTGTGTCGTTACGGGAGCCGTTGTCGTTGAGAGTACCTGCAGCTAAT